GGACTTTTACAGCCCTTCTATTTGAGGTTCTTTAAGGTTAAATGTTAGAGTAGGGGTGATCCTTGAATCTTCTTTCTATCTTTAATCAAAGAAACTCATTTCTCTCCCCCACCCCCCTTGTTTCGATGGATAATGAGAAATGTTTGATTTGTGGCTTCCATACAATCTTTCTTTTTAATTGTCAGGTGGTTTAATAATATATTAGGTCAGGCTCATCTTCCGAAGCTATACTAGAGAAGTTATTTGTTTGTTTGTTTGTTTGTTTATATTGAATTTAGTGATTGCCATCTCATTCACACAGCAAGAATCTCTTCATTGCTTCATCCTTCAAATGCTTATCTTTTGTTTCCCCACGAAGTATTTCAAGATGACAGCTTTTAACCATTTTAAACCATTTAATCATTTTGCTTTGCATTATGATCCATCTGTCCGACTAAAAGGAATGAAATGCCCTAACTAAATAATGTTAGTTATGTCGTTGGTTTGAGCTCCGAGCTTGGCAATTTGGTTGCAAACATTTCATCCCCATTCGAGGAGACATCTTCAGTGCGCCTTGGATTGTGCTCGTCTGGGAGAACACTGGCATTTAAATATCTTTCTGAGTCCTGGTCTGATTTTGGGTTGTGTGATTGGCTGGCTATAATTGATGAGTCATAGTCATTGTTGTTAAGTACCATTTGTACGATGTAAATTAGTGCTGCTGTTGTTGTTAAAATAGAATAGAATAACAGAGTTGGAAGGGACCTTGGAGGTCTTCTAGTCCAACCCCCTGCTTAGACAGAAAACCCTACATCACTTCAGACAAATGGTTATCCAACATCTCCTTAAAAACTTCCAGTGTTGGAGCATTCACAACTTCTGGAGGCAAGTTGTTCCACTGATTAATTGTTCTGTCAGGAAATTTCTCCTTAGTTCTAGGTTGCTTCTCTCCTTGATTAGTTTCCACCCATTGCTTCTTGTCCTGCGCTCAGGTGCTTTGGAGAATAGGTTGACTCCCTCTTCTTTGTGGCAGCCGCTGAGATATCGGAACACTGCTATCATGTCTCCCCTGGTCCTTCTTTTCATTAAAGTAGACATACCCAGTTCCTGCAACCATTCTTCATATGTTTTACCCTCCAGTCCCAGTTGTTTGGATATCTTCTGATGATGTCATGGTCTGGTTTCATCATCAGAAGACATCTGAACAACAACACCAGCACTAATTTACATCACACAGATGGTACTTAACACCAAGGATTATGACTCAGCAACTATAGCCAGCCACCCACACAACCCAAAATCAGACCAGGACTCAGAAAGATATTTAAAGGCCAGTGTTCTGACAGATGAGCGCAATCCAAAGTGCACTGAAGATGTCTCGTCGAATGGGGAAGAAGCGTTTGCAACCAAATCGCTAAGCTCGGAGCTCAAATCAAAAACAAACTACCAACCTGAGCTACTAATCTTGAAAGACATTTAAATAATGTTAGCCCTGGTACAACTCTTCAAAATGACAAATGTCAATCCTTGTTGACACCGTGCAACATGCTGGAGCAGTGTTATGCAAGACTTTGGATTTTATTCCAAAACCATGCTTCAGAAAGAGCAGGGATATGAGTTTCCCAAGCCCATAAGACAGCAGTTGAAGAGAGCTATGTGCTTTCAGGAAAAACACAGCAATTTTAAAGAACTGTAGACAAGGCTTCTATCTACATGTCTACATACTGCAAAGTGTGTCTTTTTTTAATATAATTCAAAGCACTGCATTTCTCTACAGTGTATTGTGTGTTGTTTGGGGACTAGAAAATGTTTTAAAAACCAAGGAAGAGTCCCTTGAGTCAAATTAACCTTTTAGTAATTTCATGGACATATCTGTGTCGTTTTCTTAGCAAAACATTTCAACACTAAAAAAGCACAATTGCTTTTTTAACCAATAACCCCTTCTGAATATTTTTCACCATTAGGTGTTAAAAAACAGATGGATAATTTTACATTAACCTGATATTAGCCCTTTACTTTCAACAGGAGAAATAACTGCTCATGTTGAAAACAAAATACTTTATTTTGAAATAAAGGGGTAGATTTTAAAAAAATCTACCCATATTGTGTAGAAAAAATAATGAAGTAAGGTCAACATATTCAATATCCAATAAAGAGCTAAAAGAAAAGTCATCAATTTTCTTTTTGGGTTTGTAACATTGATTTTTTTTTTTTAAAGCTTGTTTAGAGAAGGCCAATCACTGCTAGAAGCATCTGGTCTTCTGGAAGGGCATTTTCCATGGGAATCAGTTTGGGGTTTAGGGAAGAAAGTGGCAAACATCTATTGATTGTGGCCAAAATGTCAATCGGCTAATTTTGCCTCCCAGCCAGAAGAACCTTAAGCCATTTTGTTTTAAAACTTAATACCAGCAGCCCATCTGGGACTCATAGAAACCATGAATAATAAAACATCTAGCAATTGGCTAAACAAAAAGCAGGAGTTTGATTAATGCTATTTATGGACTCGGCAATGGGAGGGAAAGTGGGGGTGGGGGATGCAACACACCTGCACCATCCTTGGATAGATTTATTTTATGCCACTTAAACGTAAAGACCTCAAGAAAATATGCCCCAGAATGAAAACCACTCTGATTGTTAGCTTGAAAGCCTCACACTCAATGTCTCAGAAATGTTCCAATGGGGGAAGAAGAAAAAAAAAAAAAGAGGCTCCATCAAGCATTCAGGAAGAGAGGGTGAGCAGCTGTGAAGAGGCAGCAATAATAACCAGATATTGTTGCTGCACCTCAGAGAATTTTGCAAAGGGAAAGATATGAGGTACGGGGAAGAGAGAGAAGAGTTATTTCAGTAAACTACCTTGAGAGCCTTAGATTATTAGCACAGACAATATAAAGAGACAAACAATACTTTGCTTTGCCCAAATCAGTTGGGAGAATAGAGTTTGTCTTCCTCTTCCTCAAAATGTTTGTGTGTGGGGATGTGGAATAGCATCAGTTCTTTTCTTTTTTTATTATTTATTTTACTTGCTTCCACAAAGAGGAGTAAATTTGCTTGGGGATTTGAAGGAGAAGGGAGGGGAGAGAGGGAGGGGTCACTATTCAGTCCATCCTCAAGTAGGAAATCCACAATAAGTAAATTTTTTCTGTCTCAACTGCTTAAATTTCATACTTTTGACTCAAAAAGGCCTCTGTTCCCATCACAAACAGCAGAAGTGACAGCTGGGCCCAAGGATAGGGTGAAGATATTCAAGATGGTGGATATGCAACGGTGCCATTGAGGCTTTGCCCATTTGGTGGCCTGTGGATATTTTATCATACCGTTGTAGCCGCCATCTTGACTTTTGGATCACCTTCTGCACACCTTTGTTGAAGTCTTCCTTAATGGACCATTTCGCAACAACCAAAAGACCTCTCTGCATGTCACATGTGGAATTGCCCAGCGTCAGCTGGAACATGCCAACCCACTCTACTCGTTTCTAGGAAAATTACCTACTTTTCTTAAGACTAAGAAACAAATACAATTGCGTTGATTTTTGCCAATCTTCTGATAGCCAAAATACTTGATGAATCTCCCCAAAGTAAATTCAAAAGCACATTTCAGTACCATATCTGGAAAAAGTTTACTCTTCAGAAGAATAAGAATTACTAAAAGATGGAGTAGACCTATCTTGGTTAAGCGATCTTGGAAGTCAGATAATTGAAGTTTTCTCACTTTGGTGCAAAAAAAAAAAGGGGGGGGGGATTTTCCCTCTTCAGCAGGGACTCATTGAACAAAAGTCAAGTCCACCCCAGTGGAGGAAGCAGAAACCAAGCAGGCTCTTTTGTGATAGAGAAGCAGCTTTCAATAATGTTATTTCTTTCATTTAGAGTTTCAAAGTCACCATCCAGAGATATAATTCACTAGAAAAGCTTGAGGTTATGGTGGCTTGTCTTTTTCAATCACTTTGCACATATTTCTACATCAAAATAAATAGATTAAAACCTCACACGGGTGGAAAAGATCTCTCAAGGTGCACAGTATTTTGCTTGGGAAAGGAAGGGCACTTCCTCCCCAGCCCAAACCCAGATATAACAGGCTGAACAAACTATCAGCATCCTCTGAAATGAGAAGGCAGAGAACCAAATCTCTCATTACCATCGCTTCGCACATCCCGTTTAACAGTTAACCGCCAGACTCCAAATCAAAGAGGTAACTTTATATATCTTTAAGCATACCATATCTTAAAAGCCATAAGGAAATCCTGTGAAAAGTTGGATTAAAAAAAAAAAGGGGGGGGGGAAGCTGGCTGGGAAACCAGGACATAAATCGGAGTTAATACGCTCTGTAATTAATGGTTTGTATTATTGATGCAGGGTAACTCCTATACTTTTCTGTCTAGACAGGTTGCCCTAAAACACCATTTCATCCTAAGGGTCGTCTTTCTCTCTCTCTCTTTTTGCAGAAGGAGTCCGAAAATGAACTTTTTCTCCAGGCTTTTCGGGGACAGAGATCACAAATTGTCGTCTGTCATTGTACTTTTAACGGTTAACTATTAAATTATGAGATTTGGATTTAATTTTTTTAACTTTTTATGAGATGTTTCTTAACTGTTGTGAGCCGCCTTGAATCCGGCTGGAGATAGGGCGGCATATAAAGCTCATTAATAAATAAAATAATAATAATCAATCTCTCATTAATAAATAATAATAATCAATCTTCATTAATAAAATAATAATAATCAATCTCTCATTAATAAATAATAATAATCAATCTCTCATTAATAAATAAAATAATCAATCAATCAATCAATCAATCCAGAGAAAACCAAACCTGGGAAAGCTGGATGTAACTTTTGCAGCCCTCCTTCCCTCCGGAAAAACTAAGCTCCTATCTCCCTTTGGTGGCATCCAGAGAGAGAGAGAGAGAGAGAAAAAGGCAAGCCCCAGACTCCCAGGGCAAGCCAGGGCTAGTGCTCGGGAAGGGAAGAAGGGGAGAGAGAGGGCGAGAAGGAGAAAGCGAGCTCCGGACAGCTGCTTGGCTCTTACCTGGCACCCCGTTGCCGCCGGCAAACCTGTCAAGGTGGAAGATCGCCAGAGTCAAACACAAGCGCCGCGCAAAGTCACCACCAGTCCCCATGCTCCGGATCGGGATTCCGCGCAAGTAACCTGCGGGGCTCTCTCTCTCTCTCCCCTTCGCTTAAAAGAAGACGCGCTCCGGGCTGGCAGAGGGCAGCAGCCGCCACAGACAACTGACGCGCTGACAGCATCCCGCTGATTCGCAGATGGGACAGCCCGGTGGGCGGGACCGGAGGGGCGGAATGCCAATCGCTCCTCACATGGAGAAAGGGGGGGGGGGGGAGGAGGGCAGAGGGGGAGTCGGAGCGGGAAGGGGGAGGGGCGGGCGGCCGCTGTCTGGGTCTCCTCTCCTCTCCCTCAGTTCGGAGGCCCGAGGAATTGCGACGGGACGGGACGCTTCGCGCACCCGGGAGTGGTGGTGGTGGGTGGTGGAGAAGAAGAAGGGAGACCTGCAGCCTTGGGGGGTTTAGAGTTGCAGACAGATGCACCCCGCTGGTTGATTTGAGGGGGAGGGGGGGAGGTTTTGTTTTGGGGGGGGGTCGATGCAAATCCTTTGCATGCCACAGACTGAGAGAGGCAAACAATTAACTCTTCAGTTTAAGACAAGCTGGGCTTAATCGTTGGGTCAGGAGGAAGGGGTGTGTGTGTGTGTGTGTCCCCCACTTCACGTTTAAAAGAAATATTTATTTATTTATTTTATTTTATTTTATTCGGTTTATATGCCGCCCTATCTCCCAATGGACTCAGGGCGGCTCACAATAATAAAAACGCAAGCCACAATACAAAATCTAAATCTAAAATCTAAAAAATTTAAAATTTAACCCTTAAAATCCCCCCATCACACCAGGTCAAGCGATTTAAAAAGCCAAGTTTTTAATTCACGACGGACGGTGCGAAGGTCAGGCGCTAATCGGAGCTCTAAGGGAAGTTGATTCCAGAGGGTGGGCGCACCCACCGAGAAGGCTCTATCATAAGTTTTATTTAATCATTTAATAATCATAAGTTTTATTTGTCAAGCATATATAAGATAACAGGTAAAAACATACTTTGAACACATGAAAAGAGTAAGTAAAAAGGAATTATTAGGACAGGTTATATTGGGTCAGTCCTCCCCCCCCCAAGAAAGAGGGGAGAGGGGAGGAGAAGTCCCACTTGCCCCCAATTTATTCGTATCCATTTCCTGCGTTCATAATCATGTTTATGCTTACATCTGTCGTTTTATACGTGTTTGACAGATAAATAAATAATAATAAAAGTTCTGAACTGCAGCATGAAACTTCCCCTGTAAGCTGTGGTTCAGGGAGGACCAGTCTCAGGCAAGGTTCCTTTCATCCTGTTATTCTGGTTGCAAGGGATGGGGGGGGGAGGATTTGGGAAGGGGGGAGAAGAGGTCATAAAAGTCAACATGGTGGCTGTGACCATGCAGTTGGAGCCTTTTAGGAGATGGTGAGACGTTTGTCTCTCTCCTCCCTGGACAATCCAAATGGGAGCATTGATGTTGTTGTTGTTAGTTGCAAAGTCATGACCGACCCATCGCAACCCCATGGAGAATGTTCCTCCAGGCCTTCCTATCCTCTACCATCCTCTGGAGTCCATTTAAGCTCACGGCGATGGCTTCAGTGACTCCATCCAGCCACCTCATTCTTTGTCGTCCCCTTCTTCTTTTGCCCTCAATCTTTCCCAGCATTAGGCTCTTCTCCAGTGAGTCCTTCCTTCTCATGAGGTGGCCAAAGCATTTGAGTTTCATCTTCAGGATCTGGCTTTCTAAAGAGCAGTCAGGATTGATCTCCTCTAGTACTGACCGGTTTTTTCGCCTTGCAGTCCAAGGGACTTGCAGGAGTCTTCTCCAGCACCAGAGTTCATTCACCATAGTTCATTCACCATATGAATATTTACCACACTCATTATATGGGAGCATACTAAAGAGTAACCCAGTTCCTGGGTTGGGAGAGTAGCCCGTTCCTGCCAACTGAGCTTTGCCCAAGGCTTGTTCAGTAGCCCTTTTTACGTGTGTGATTTTTGACATCAAGAAAAGATGCTTTTCCTGGCACAGAAAATACCTTCCCCCCCAATCCCAAACCCTCCCCCCCCAATCCCTTGCAACCATAATAACAGGATGAAAAGGACTTTGCCTGAGTGTAGCTGAAGGACCAGAAGTAGCAAAAGTGGGCACCCTTGTGTGGGAAAGACTTGGGGTGGGGGTGGGGGGTTAGAAAGTCTTCCATAAGCTGGAAAGGACAAGAGCATTTTTCCGAATCAAACACACCGCGCTCCCATCGTCTCCTGACTCCCTACATGCCTGCCTGCCTTGTTCTTTTGAAGCGGATTCCCACAATCGGACCAGGATTTCCACAATCGGACCGTGTTTCATTTCCCTTGGTTTTGTAGGCTAAATGTCACCTCAAGGACTCCTATTCAGATCCAGTTGGGCTCTTTCTACAGGATTTAGAGTGGGACCACTCCTATGTTCAGGGCTCTTCAACTTCTGCCCCCCCCCAATTCCTCCCTCCCTTAGGTTTCAGTGACAGCCTGATTTGTACAAAAAAAAAAAAATGCTCCTTACAGGCTAAAGGCAGAGGGGCTTTGAAGCTGCACAGTCCAGAAACTCAACAGCAAATCTCCTTGACAACAGTAAGAGGGATTCCCCTTCCCCCCTCATGGCCCAGACTAAAAGAAAACTTTTTCTATTCTTTTTTTTTTTTTTTTGCTTTGCCTTCAGGCTCATCTAAGCTGGAGCTGTTGCCTTTTCCACTTGCTTTGGGTCATTACCATTAATACCAGCCACTAGATTTCCATAACATTTGGAGAGAGCTAAAAGGAAGGGGGGTGGGTGGGCATATTTTAAATTACCTACCAGGTTAACAAGCTATTCTTATTAATTTTAATGAGGATATATCACATTGCCCAGTTTCATCGAACGTCGATCGATTAAAATAATTCCGTGTCAAGTAGAGACTTCAAACAAGCACTTATCTTTTAAATGGCTTAAATAGGTCCAAAAGCTACCAAAATGGACAAGCATTCTGTTGCTTTTCATTCTTTCCCCCCTTTTTTTGACACTTTCGACACTGGAATATATATCTAGATTATTTTTAGAAATATGCTGGGAAATATTTTTTTTTAAATAGAAAGAAGCTGAGACAGCCAAAATAGAATAGAATAAAATGACCCTCTGATACACGGATGCCTTAAAAAAATTTTTTAAGAGTACTTGTATTAAATTGACAATTTCCAAGTAAACTGAATATTTTAGAGACGTATGGTATATACTGCATATTCTTCATTTCTTGTCTTAATTTATATTTCTGTCTGTAACTCAAAACACTTTTCCAAATGCTTCAACCTCTCCTTGGTAATACAAGAATAGATTTTTATATTATTTCTTTTCAAATGTTTCCTATTCTGCATTATTCTCTACATTGGTGCAAAAATGCACAAAGAAGCACTTGTGAGTTTATGGCTGACTTACTACACTGAAAATGTTCAGCCTAGTCCCCTGGGAATACTCCCTAATACCTTAGAGCTCCATCTAGTGAATTTCAAGGCATAAGCAAGAAGTTCATGGTTTCAAAATATATGTTTAATTGAATCTATTATCTATTAATTATCTTACCTAATTAGCAGATGTCAAAAATGCAGTCTGGTTATGAATTGAGGGTTATGATAATCAAGTTGGAATATGCTATAGAGAAAGACCGTTTCAGACTTTCCCAGTTCAACTAACCTAAACCGTGATCAGAGGTGGGTTTCAGCAGGTTCTGACCAGTTCTGGAGAACCAGTAGCAGAAATTTTGAGTAGTTCGGAGAACCGGTAGTAAAGATTCTGACTGGCCTCGCCCCCATCTATTCTCTGCCTCCCGAGTCCCAGCTGATCGGGAGGAAATGGAGATTTTGCAGTAACCTTCCCCTGGATTGGAGAGGGAATGGAGATTTTACAGTATCCTTCCCCTGGAGTGGGGTGGGAATGGAGATTTTACAGTATCCTTCCCCTACCATGCCCACCAAGCCACGCCATGCCCACCAACCACGCCCACAGAACCAGTAGTAAAAAAAATTGAAACCCACCATTGACCGTGATGGTACTTGAAAGTGCTAGTATTCAGTGCCAAATCAATTAATGGCAAAATGATCACCCAGGACCTGATTATGAATCGGTACATATGCTGATCTGGTTTGTAGTGTGGAGACTGATAAATAGTTTAGTAAAAGTGACTTACTTAATATGCGTCCAGAATCTGAAAATAACATTTAACACAGCACAGTACTTAAGCAAAATGGTTTGGTTGAGATCGGCATATGTGGGACTGATTGGGGTAGATTGTAGGGGTGATACCGAAATACAATTTTATCATATTATAAGCCACTTCTAAAAACTTTGTGTTGGGACCGAGGTCCAAGTAGGTAGTAATTGACGCAAACAGTTCGAAAACAAACAGACTTTATTAGAACAGCTGAGAATTAGCTCATTCTCAGCATAGTCCAAACTAAATTAAAACAAACTCTTCATAACACGAATTCTTCAGTCTAATCACCAACCTTGGTATAATTAGGCAAACTGCCAAAGACTTCTCTTGGCAAAAGTTCAAAAGCAGAAGATGCCGACAAGAGATAAGTGCAGGCTCCTCCTGTTCCTTTGCCTCTCTACTGTCAGCCTCTGGAGGCTCCGGAGTCCGCACATCACTCCCCGATGGCCCTGGCCCCATCTCTGCCTCCGACACAGAACCCTCATCCAGGCCTTCCCCAGCCTCCAGGACTGGCCCATGTTCTTCTTCAGCCTCGTCGCTGTCCGACTCTGCTGCCAGCTCCTCAGGCTGCTGGCGAACTACAACACTTTGCTAAGAAAAATGTGTGGACCTGTCAGTGAACAGTGGATCTATTTTATTTGTATTTAGTTTACTAATCTAATAGAATATATTCTTGGTTTTCCGTGTTGTGTGTGATGTAGCTGTGAAAGAATGTTCCATACTTTTATTTATATCAATATATCAGCACTTATTAGGATTTAAAATTACAGATCAGTGGAGTTCAGTAAAAATGGAGAGTAACCAATTAATCCCAATAGTTTTTATTTTAGTTGTTTCCTATTGCAAAAAAAAAAAAAAGTTCTTTGGCAGGCAATATTTTTGAAACT